TTTTAACTTTAAATGTTAAATGCTGGAAAATATTAGTGTTATTTATTCTGAGAAATTTGTAATTTAATGAATGGAAGTAATTTTATCAGTCTGTAGCCACACATACAGTTTACCTTCTGTAGAATGACAGTCCCTAACAGTTATCACAGTAAAGTCAAATATTCATAAAAATCTCTGTATTATTCTTGCCAGAAAGTAGACATTAAGCTAACATCAAAGCAGTAACTTAAAGGGCCAAAGCATTTTCTGTATAATTTTCTATCAACTTAAACATTGCTTGAACCATAATACATTTTTTTCTTCATTGAGATTAGTGTCATTTAAGTGTAATGTTCTAGCATTTTAGCAATTATTAATGCTATTAGATCCCAGGAGCAAGGGCTAGAAAAGAGAAGTTGGTGGAGGTGGCAAAACTACAACTTTAGAAAATAAACTAATCTTTCCAGTGAAAGATTTTTGGCAGCAAAGATAAAGGAGTCAGATTTGCTTTATTGGTTAACTACTTATTGGTTGATCCCACTTTTTAACTTGAACAATTTACCTCAGAATACAGGCATGGAGGAATATATTACTACTTACACAAGGAGAAAACAACAAAATAGCTTACAAAGTTACTCTTTATAAAATAAGCATATCTTAGTGAGGACTAGGAAGTGGCACAAATTGCTTGCTAGAAATTGTGTAACAGCTATGTTACTTTACCCAAAAAATTACAGGAGTTTCCTTTTTTAGAAACTACCCTCAGAGGTGCTTCACAAACAAAGGAATACACATTTGAAGTAAAGTGTCTCCAGTTGTACTGTGCCATATTGTATGATATTGTACTATGTCTGCATACATAATTGCTGGGACATTGATATCAAGAATTTGTGACAAAAGCAGCAGGCACTTTTAGAAAAACTTAACTTTTAGGCTTTATTAATATTTTCAGACATCACCTATATTTCAATTTTATGCTTTTAATTTTTTTTTTTTTAATTGCTTCATCACACACACAAAAGATGGCCTTTTCTTTTACATTATTAGCATACTACTTATGCATTTTAAAAAACAGTGTTACTTGGTGCATAAATTATATATTTCTTAGTCCACAGTTCTTGTGCATGGGAAAAGTATTCTTTGTCCTATAGTTCATAATCAATTTTCGTCAGTATGCCTTTGATCTTTTTGCCAGTTTTTTGGAAGGACTTAAGGGTAAAGTAGATATCAATAATAGAAGAAAAATAAAAAAAGATACCACACACACACTTCCACAACAAACTAAATCAAGACTACAGGCAAAGGAAATAATTAACCTAGGGCCTGACAAAGTAAGCGTAGTTTCAGTCACTTGCAGATGATCAATTCTCTTGTAAAATACAGAGTGGAACAGATTTGCTTTGTATTCTCCTTTGAGACAGTTCAGCAGAAAATAATGGCCTTTACACATAAAGCTTTGCTTTTTAAATGTTCTAAGAACTTAATCTTACATTCACACTATTTAGAACTTAAATATCCAAATTAGTATTCTATAGGATAATATAGAAAGAGCATTGGTGAGTTTATGATAGCAATCAGCAGATTTATCATCTTAGAATTACAGCCTCTCTCTCCTGTTTAAGATTTTAGTGGCAAAGTATTCAATACTTCCGATAGGTTAAAGTTAACACCTTTACTCTGTCCAGTATGCCACTGAATTTTATGAGCATCCACACTATGTATTCTCAGCATGAAATTCCTTCTAATAAGCAGGCAGACATATGTACCAGTTTAAAATAACAGAAGGTTACACTTCCTTGTTTTGTGAAAAAATTCAGCTGGTGGCAGCTAATGTGACAGAGATGAGGTCTTAATTTGAGTAAGAGAGTCTTTCCCTCCTCCTTCTCCTCACCAGGGCCTTTGCAACCACAAGCTGAAAGCACTAGTCTAATCACTTTTAATGTGAAAAATACCCATTTAAAAATATTATGTGAAAACTGTATTTATGGCACATAAGAGCAACTTTCAGATATTTTTTTGTTATAGGTCCCACACATATACCATCATACACATAGTCCTTATATTCATCTTTCTACATTTTGAATGCTAATCTCATAAAAAGCCTCCCACTTTTTATATTTTAACCTTACCTGGAAATTCCTACATTATAAAAGTATATATACTTTCTCTTGTGCAAACCACAAATTTCAATTTCCCAGGCTAAGATAATCACTAAGATGAGTTTAATACAAAACCTAATCTTGAGGATGACTGCTCAATGCATGACTGACTGTGTGTATGCTCTGGCTTGAAAAAAGACATGAAAAAAAAACAAAAAACCCACAACATTTTACTAATTCAGCTTAGGCATTCTGATGTAACTGAAGTCATCACTAGTGGTCAAAACTTTTATACTGATTTTATTTCACAGTCCCAGACAGTAAGACATCACGCTAAACAAGCACCTTCTGTACAGAGTAACTACAGATAATAATAGCTCAAAGAGAATCTTTGCCAAATTCGTGTTCTTTGTGATATTCTCCATGACAGGGATTGTAGCATTTAGCTAATGGAAGAGCTATGCTCAGTAATACAGATAGGAGACAGCATAGAAACCTCATACAGAAGAACTGGTAAGTGTGGAAACTGCCCTATGAAAAAATAGGATAAAGACAATGTCCTTAGAAGGTTACTTGGAACAGCTCTATGCTCCTGCACGAGGGTTTATTTTGACCCTCTGTCAAGTTGTTTCTCAATTGTCCCAGGGACCTTTATCCACTGAGTCTCAGTTCTCTGCCTGACAGGAAAAAAGTTACAATAGATGACCAATCAGTTATATGTACCACATTTCCTAGAAAAATCAAGATTCAAAAAAAGCTAAGTTTCCCCTCCAGAAGTTGTACATGAGAAACTACACTGAATTTAATTTTCCAAAATGTTTTATGAAACAAACAAACAAACAAACTTTTTCTATCAAGGTTACAGCACTTCTTTCGAACATGCTTGAACTGCTGTGGTCCCTGGAGCATAATTCAAATAATTAAATTTGGAGCATGCAACTACAGAGGAATTGTTCTATGACAGAATTTGCAACCTTAGGATGAGAGAAGTGAGCACATTCAGCAAGGCTAAAGTAGAAGACAATGTCAAATATAGAAGAAAGGTATAAACAGAGCAGTAAGCAATTGCCACAGAATATGCCTGCTTTTTTGCTGTTACAACAGAATGTTATTACTTGGACAATACCTTTAAAGTGGAAAGGTAGAGAAAGATTTATTGGAAACTCTTCTCCTGAGCCACTGTTTAGCCATACTACAGCCTTCCTTTCTCTTTAACAGTGCCTTCCTCAAGGGGTTTGGCTAGGTAATGCAAACTTTTTGGTGCAATTTATTTTGACTGTTGGAAATCTTACAGTTTTTAAGTAACTGGAGATAACAATCGAGTACATTCTGAAGAGCTCCCAAGTCTCTAACTGCAGTCTCAAAGGTCCAAGTCCTTTAGCAGCTGGCTCAGGATCACAGGCTCTTAAGCTTGATTTTGGCAGTTACATGATGTTAAGTTTATTGAATGACTGGATGACTTATCAACAGTGATAGCCATCTACAAGTTCTACAGTCATTTTTTATCTCAAAAAATCTACCTCATCTCTTCTTTAAAACTATAAATTCAATCTATAAAAATGAGAATTATGTTCATCCACTGAAGAAAAGTTACCCTAAAAGTGTATATGGTTCATAAACATCAGCATTGTTAACTTCAGCTGTATAATACACTGTTTTGAGACTAATGTGTGACATCAGCTGCAGATGAGTTTATGAATGACCAAGATACACTAGTGAAGTATTTACTGAAGCAATACAAATACACAAGAGTATAATTTCATTGATTTGTAGTGTAACATTGTAGATCAATCTAAACTAAATTTTCAGATAAACTGGTTATAATTTCCTCCCATAGACATATTTAAAACAGAGAGGACACAACTACTTGAACCAAAGAACAAACCTTAAAATTTGTTAGGTTAGAAAGTAGGTAGAAGAGTCATCAGCAAGCATTCCATCAGATTAACAGCTGACAGAAGAAACCAGTCTAAAATCTCATTTTGCAGCAAACACTTTTTACCAGATATTGCGTGATATATACCAAATGTTTAACATTTAAGAACATCTGAATTGCATGTTCTTGATAGGTTCTGAGAGTACTCCTTCAGTTTTGGTTTTAAAGGCACCTAGAATCTGAAACATGCTCATCTCTTTACTTCTTCCAACCCTGCTCACTTGCAGTTAAATTTATCTCCCTTTTTCACTGAAAAGAACATGCGAGTTCCATGTTGCTTTGTGTTCTTCTAGCACTGAGTTCAACCAGTAACTATGAAAGGCAGTAAATTCACTCTGCACTCCTGCATTTGTTCTCAAGTTAGTTTTGTCACCTTTGCAATTCTAGATTCAGAACTCTCTTTCCTTTCGCTTTTCACCACCATCTCTGGTTGCCACCTTTTCTCCCCTCAGTAAATTCTGGCATAAAAAGGTATATTTATGTCCAGAAAAAATGTTTAAGTTTAGTGGCAAACAAGACCAGATTTATTTAACAGGTTTCTGATGTCTCCTAGACATATCTCCTCTAGGAATATATTTATGATATCCTTTACTCTCACTGTCGCTCCCAAATTTATTTTGCTACTTTACAGTTCTCAAAGTAGTAAGGAAATAGTAGGGGAGCTGCTGTTGTAATTAAATTATATGAACCCTTTAAGAAACAGTACCTCTACAATTTCATGTTAACTTCATAATTATTCCTGCATGATCCAAGATACAAAAGCATTGCTCAAGCAGTTAAAGTTGAGAAATAGCTGTTTCCTCCCTTGTAGTCAGTGTAGAAATCTGACAACAAAATAAATAAATCATATTTTTTTTACACTCCTCAAAAAAATTCAATTAAAAATTGAGATCAAAATTGATACAGCATTTTTTAAAATTGCTATTAGATTTGCCTCAAAAGTCTCTCATTTAGAAGAAGGACTCAATAAACTGTAGGAAGAATACCTGATGTTTCTAGAAGATAGGTCATACACCTTCACATCTGCAGCTGATGACCACATCCAGAAGAACAAGATGGGCACAGGAACTCCATAATCAGAAAAAAAGCCACACTCTGGTCTGAGAAGCATCTGGAAATGCCAATACCCATGTTAGCCACAAAGCTCCCCAGACCATAGGCTGACACGCTAGGCTTAATATTTCTACCAGAAATACCACTCTATTATTCCTCAACTGCCAAAAACTTTTGAATCTGCTTACTTTTTGGAAATGAACAGCATCAGTCCACGTAGCTCACCTTCCCTGAACCAATGATCAAAATCCAAATCAGACATCCAGTAAGCATTCCTCCCTCTTCCCTTAAGTTTATTCCCTTCTCCCCAGGAACTTCCTTTTCATGATACTCCTCAGCTGGATCCAGAACCCAACCCTCTAATAGCAGCTGATACCAAATGCAGGAGGGCATCATTAAGCTCTTCTTGAACCAGGTTATTTCTACCCAACTATTTTTTCTTAAAGAAACAGTCCAATGGATAGGGATGTAATATGCAACTTCACAAATCTCGCAGTATCATTTTCATTTGTTTTTAAGTGCTGTTCAGAATAATAAAAAAGTGATAACATTTCATCAAAATGATTTAGAATTTCACCACAGTGAATATAAACTCTACTTACTACTCTTTTTCACGAATGAACTCTTTGTGAGACTAAAAACTGATTCTTACATGCTTATGAAAAAACAGAAGTCTTAGAAAAGGATATAAGCTCCCATATACATTCTAAATACCCACATTAAACTGTATGAGAATAAAAGGGAATACCTCAGACTATTATGTATCTTTGTCTTAAATATTAAAATAATATACTCATCAGTGACAAAAGACTTAGTGAATTGTAAGTTTTCCACTACTAAAAGTGCTGTCTTCAGTACAACATGTCAGCTCCACGTGGGGCCCTTTGCAGTATCCCTAGGTTTCTTTATTTATCTTTTAGATGAATACTAATATATATAATCCACTTCTGTGGCCCAAACTTTTATTATTATGACACGATATATTTTTATTTATGTTCTAATCAAATTTTTATTAAAATCTTAAAGGAGACTAGCAAGATTTTTCTTTTCAATCTTCTTCAGCAATTACCACTGTCTTTTCTCAAGACTGCTCAGGTGTTAAAGCAATGGCTGGCTAGGAAAGTTTCCTGGTGAGTGATATTATTAATTTTTGTAAAACCCAAGTCTCTCAAAGTTTTCCAAGGCAAATGAGAGAAAGGTAGCTCAAATTCTGTATATAAAGTGTCAAGAAATCCATGTGAGCTGAAACCCTGCTATCTGAATTATTCAGTCATTTTAACTGCTTATCGAAGAAAAGCTGAGTGTGAGCTGCCACCAGGTGTATAATGGTTTCTATTGGAAGGAAAGCCAGGGTGCACGGGAAAATGGAGTAGGAAGATACATTGCAATATCAGGGAATCAGTACTTTAATGTGCATTGTGGAAGGAAGTAGTTCCACTGGGGAGACAAGGTCCATCCTATGTTTATGCAGGGCTACCTCTAGTTTGTACATTTAGAAATATATATCAGAATTTCCCAGAGATATGACAAGACATATTTCAGTATACTTCATCAAGTCAAGTGCAAAGCTTATGTAAAAATTATTGTGTTACAGAAATAATAAACATAGTTATTCTTACATAACTGACAAAGTTTTATCAATAGTTGCAAGACTATTGCAATGAGAAGATTACCATTAATGTCAACAGCACTAGACAGTAAGGGCTGAGATACGTAATAAAGGTAGGTTACTCCAAAATTAATGCCACCTATCTATTTCCATGGAAACTACAACTACAGAGAGCACAATAACACCATTTGATAGAGCAAATTCTCCAAGCACCACCATTAACTATGCATTTTTGCCATCAAAAAACAAGAGCCTACATGCTGTGCTTGTAAAAATCTGCAGCACTGGAGGTGACCCACCGTTTCACAGCTGCTATGATGATCTCATTGCCAGGAAAATGTTGCCCATGCAGTTTATCTCTCATCAACCTGATCATATGGAAGTCAGATGGCACCAAATCTGGACTATGCATCTAGACTACACACACAGATCTGGTGTAATATGACAGTCCAGGCAAGACTGGCAATGTGCTCCACATTCTTAAAACTTACCAGGGCCTGGTGTTATCATGTTGCAAAACAAAGGATGTCCTCTTCTCTGCCTGATTCTGGAAGTTCAAGCCTTCAACTTAGTCAGCAATGCAGTGTAGGTGTCAGAGTTGATGGCTTGTCCATGTTCCAGGAAATGTAGAAGAATCACACTTTTCCTATCCTCCCAAAAATAGCGCACATCTCTTTATCTGCTGATGGATGTGCCTTGAAGATTTTCTTTGATGTTCACACGTTGTCACTCCATGGACTGCTGTTTTGACTCTTCATTTATTGAAGAAACTGCCTTAAGCATTTCTATGGCTATACCCAGCCTAAAGCAACTGACGATTTGACTTTGTTTAAACATCTGTTAGTAATGGATAAATTAACCAAAATTTGCCACAGACTAAATTTTCTTGTTTCCTATCCAACAGCCTGGTTATCAATTCATCAGACTTTGAAGATACTTCAACTCACAACTGTTAGACTCTCAAAACTTTAGTAGTTCTTACTACCAATATGAATCCTAGCCTTAAACTTTTCCTGTGGTCTATTTAAGATTAAGGAAATCCCGGAGAAAACACATTAAACTCATCCATAGGGAAATTTCAGCTGGACAAGTTAAGAGCACTGATATTGGGCTTAAAAACTAGGAAACATACAGAGAGATAGGTATCACAGAGAAAGCAAATCCCCTAATAACAATTCTATATGTCTCCTAGACGAATGTTTGACCTTGTGCAAGCACATGTCCACAACAATGAACAAGAAAGGAGCTATCAGAGTGCATATTTAAATCCTAAATATCCAATTAACATATGCTACAGCAATAATTTGATTTTATGAAAAATGAATACATATGTTAAACATATCCTTACCCTCTATTATCAACAAAGTTGTAAATCAATATTTTTTATCAATTTTCATATTCTTATTGTACATGTATTTTATTCAGAACAGTTTCACTGGTCTAGGAATTTCACATCATCATTTCTTTAAATGAGATTATTTTGACAGACGTGAAGAGTGTTGCTTGGATGGTTTTAAAATTTTTCAGGGCACTGAATAATCCTAAAACAAAAGAGACTCAAGCTGAAATGCAAAGACAGTGAACAGAATACATACATCTGCACCAAAAAAAAAAAAAAAAAAAAAAAAGTAATTCACTGACAACCAATTGGAAACACATTCTGACCAGCATGCTGCATGTTAGAAAGTCCAGAAAAGACTTACAGATCAAATACGCTGACCTATGCGCTTTTGACATGAGGAAAAATAAAGGGAATTGACACACAGGTTAGCCAGGTATCAAATATTATGGTTTAAGAGAATGCCTTACACTTCCATGTAATTTGAAGTCATGAGACATTCAAGTGCTTATAACTCCTAGTTAACACAGTTTCTTACATATGCAAGCTCTATTATGAGACATTTTCTATAATTTTGCTTACAATTCCTAGTTTCAAACCAGAATCCCCTTATCAGATGCTGTAAAAAGAAATTAAAAACAAATTCTACCCCAAAGAACTTACAGGCCAACGATAAAAGAAAACAGATGGGCAGAGACAGATGGTGGAACAGAAGGAAATAATGAGACTTCTATAGTAGATATAAGAGATGTAATTAGGCTGATCATTTACCCATGCATGGTAAAGTTTACTATGAATGAAACACGGCAGTGAGTTTTCATCGAACTTCTGCATAACAGCCCTTTACTCTCTCCTACTGTAACAAGGACAATCCTGAAATAAACTTGTGCAATTCAAGAGTAGTTCATTGCTCAGGTTCTTGCTCATCTGTGTTTTGCTTAAGGGTCTCTTGGAAATTAGCCATCTTCTAAGCCCTTTCACAGTACAGAGGTAAAGCAGATACAGTGTTTAAAGTTTTGCTATTATTCTGTTTTGCTAAATAAGCATCTTTATTTTGCCAATACCGTAAGAGACATCCTTCCTAACCAAGGAACAAGAAATTGTCTAAAAATAATATTTTAAAATTGAGATATTATTATTTCATAAGTCATTTTATACTCCCCCCACAATGTTACATTTTAGTAGGAGAAACAAAACTAACTCTGATTTAAATATTTTTTTATTGTGTTTGGATGTTCATTTCTTTTTTAAACATATTTGTGAAACTTTGTTTTTCTAGAAACTGAGGATCTAATAAATTTGTGGTGTAGTAGAGGGAAGATATAGGAAATCTTAATACCACCTCTGGCTCTGGGTATGAAACAATTTAAGCTCTACAACAGAAACACAGATTAAGTTGAACAAAATATATTTGTCTTGTTTGTTTCATTCTACTTGTACAGGACATCTGCTCAGCTAGAAAACAGACTGCATGATATTCAAAGGTCAAAAAATATACAACAAAATATCATAAGTATTACATCTTATTGTTAAGTAGGAAGAGATTTTTCTTGTCAAACATAGGCATATGGATCTGTACTATGAATACTGTTAATGAAACAAATGGTTAGCACACATTTCCCTAGAATTCAGATGAGATATTATAATGTCACTTTGAACATAAATGTATCAAATACTCTCTTTACTTCCAAGAAATACTAAAACCAACAGAAATATTTCAGTAAAACATAAAGGACATGGATCATTCTTCCTCTAATCAGAGACATTCTATATCAAAGTATCTAGTAATTCTTATCTGGAGGACAAGAAAATTTGTCTGATCTTCTGATTTTGAGCAAGGATCAATTCAGACTTAAAGCAAAATTTTATTAACTTTGCTCAATTGTGACTGGAATGCAGTATTTCATTACCTTCAGTGCAGGGTGAACATTTGTTTTGTTTTGTTTTTTTTCCATTGTGTCTGTTCTTCTGTACAGTTCTGCTTGCCACCCCTTAACCCATCATAACCATCATAAACACCAAATAGTGATGCACTTTTTTCCTCCTTTGACAGAAGTTTTTAAATAGAATTATAGATGACCTCTGTGTGGGTTGCCTTCTGATTAGTAAAAGCCTTATTTCCTGTCATGGTTTTCTGACTTTTGGTTATCAGTATTCCACATCACAACATCATGTAGTGCACTGGGAGTTTAACTGTTAATGCTCAAGTTCTGGGGAACTACATTCCCCAGAGGGCTTTGCAGTCAGAGAGGAGATATAACTCCTGGCAAGGTCACCTGATGCACTCTTCTTCATCTGCTCTTCTTCGTCTCCCTGTTGCTCAATTGGACTGCACATCTCACCTCAGCATTATGGTGAGGCCTAT